GGGGGGGGGGGGGGGGGGGAAACGAAATCCTTTGAACCCCCTCCCCTCCCCCAATCCAAATCGTGGTGATTAACGATGACCGGTCGCAAGGTGATAATATTCTTGATGAAGAAGCAATTACCTTCTCTCTTCTATGGTGACTTCAAACAGAGAAGCTGTGTTCACCAATATGGGTACACAATGGGTATGGCTGCTGCACTCAGGGGGGAGGAGTGTGTTAGCCTGGGAAGAGATATCCAACAGTTACTGTTATAAAAAGGCATAACAGGTCAGGGTTGTCGCTTAGTACCGACTGTCAGCGAAATTTGCCGAATGAAAAAGCGGTGGTCGTCGGCTGGAGTTTTGGATAGCGATCCCCCAGTAAAGCGCAACTGCCACTAGTACTGCGGTTTTCACTTACAATCACTTGATATTGAACGCTGTCTCTTACCCGTCTTACTTCCAATTTCAGCCGACAGCTTTATATCTTAGCTACAACCTTCCAAAGCATTCAAAAAGAAGTACGAAAGACTCACTAAGAAACATTTAAAAAATTGAATAAATAAAAATAAACAAATAATTAAATAAATAAGAGTTTGAAAAGTAATTTTTACCAAATGAAGCAGCTCTCCAAGAAGAATGGTGGCTCTGACGGAAAGAAACGGATCTGATGATGTTATGACTTCAACAAGGCTCTACAAGAGACGAAATCAAACGCAAGTTACAAATATAGTTGCTGCAGTGTTCTAACACGATTCACATTATCGCAAAGCATGTGTGGTTTGCCGCTATCTTACTTAAACTAAAAGTACTTCAAAGGTAAAGCACTTTAACAGAGCATTTCAAACCAAAATTATAGTAACCGAAAACAAAGGAAAAGGTCAGAAAAATCCAAGGAGAACTAGAATTGAAGAATGATTAATACCAGTAATAATAATAACAATAATAATAATAATATGTAACACTACTACTACTTCAGCTAATGATTATAATAACAAGATAATAATAACAAAAATATATTTATATTTAACTGTAAGGCCAGCTAAATTCAAAAGTTTGTTTGACTTGAAATCTTCTTCCTCTGTTTGAATCTAAGGAGCAACTTCAGAATACCCAGCCACTCATTTACATGTCATTGAATAAGAATAGCGTCTATTATGTTATGCCTCGGTCTTCAAAGCCTCCCGACACATGTAAGTGAGGCGGACCAAAGTGGCTGGGTATTCTGAAGTTTAGCCGAATCCAGAGATATAGTAAATATCTTATTAACGTCGTTTTCTTGGTCCAAACAGTAAGTTACGGAACCACGTTTTTTTTCGCTTGGGTTTACGTGGTCAGTAACTTACAATACGAACCTCAAAACTTGATTGGGAAGAGGTACTGATTGATTGACTGATTGCTGTTACTTGCTTATAATTTACATGGAAAACGCATCAGGACAATTTAAGACGGACAGATTTTGGCAGCACGCGCGCTATTTGTAATTTGCACTCGAGTTACAACTTTGCACTCGTGCTACATGAAAAATGCACTCGTTTTCAGCCAATCAGACGTGCGTTATTTTTTCGTGTATATTGTTAATCTAATAATTAAAAATAAATGGACATCCACCGCCTTACCACCAATAAGAGAAATAAAAAAATTTAAAATACCTCAAATAATCCAGCATTCATGAAAGCTGCTAACACCAGAGCTATATAATTCTTCACAAGGTTTGTTCTATCAAACAAACAAAAAAATGCTTGATAAAAAAACAAACAATAAACAAACAGTTTTCATAATTGTCATCGCCACGGTGTCCTCGTTACAAGGGTTCAAAACTACCATTTTTAAGCCAGCATCAACAATTTTGAACACTTATAATAACTCATTCCCAATGACATTTTTCGAAGAACTACTCATACACGTAACTTATGAATACCAGAAAAACTAAAAAGTCCTTTTTTTAGAACAAGTGAGACCCTGGAAGCGTGGCATACCAAACTGATTACCAATGCGGACAATAATTTACGTCCACTACCTGGACAATACAAAACCCCTTTTAACGAAGATTCATAATTAATCATTTTCATAGTCATTTCACAATTTCACGAATTTTGATTCCATCTTGTCCGCTTCTTTCCATTTACATTTCACCCGTTGAAAATTGCAGCTCAGGCGGTCGAAAGCTTGTAAATTTTTTTAAAGTTTTAGCCAGTGATCGTTTTTCACTTTTTTATTTTTTTACCATAAAAAATTCCTTGTACCTTCCAGTTGCCCTGTGAGGTAGTAATGCCTTAGCTTCTTCTGCCACGAATCCCTCGGATAATTTCCATGCATCCTGCATTTGACAAGGATCTGAACAAATAAAGAATAAAGACTTACAAATATCTGTTAAGCCTGACCGCCTGCATGTGATTGGCATTGTGTGTACACGCGTACATGTACTATGTCCAAGTGCAAGTTGTCGATTGCTTGTTGCAGAAGGATTATACCCTCTGGTACTTAAAACTGTTTTAAAAACTCAAACTGGAATAAAGTAACATAACTAAATGTAAAAACCTTACCAACACTTAGAAGAGCGATATTGAAGTCATCTGTCCAATCTGGCTCCTTGAGCTGAAATATCTCAAATACGATGTCCATGATGCCTTTCTATTGGCAAAAGAAAAGAACAAATTTTAGATCCAGCTGCTAGGTAAACCAGCAGTCACCTCCAGGGGCTGGTGCTTTGCAACAACCCTGTGCCCCCCTGCCCTCATATGAAGGCAACACATGCAAAGCGATCCTCACAGTTATGAACACAACTTAAGTAGAAATGAAAATAATGCCTGAACAAAATTCAGGCTTGTACAGGATTTGAACCCATGACCTCTGCAATACCGGTGCAGTGCTCTATCAACTGAGCTAACAAGCTAACTGGGAGCTGGTCATTATTTTGGTTCCAAATAAACCCTCAAAGTGGTGAATAAACGACTGGAAATACATGAAAATCATACATGTGAACTGCAGTTATGAAGACTATGCTCTACCAACTGTACAAGCCTGAATTTTTTTTTCATAACTGCGAGTGCTTCCATATTCGTTTCTTCAACCGCAGTTCACATAAATGATTTTCATATATTTACAGTCAGAGCTCAATCATGTTTTAACAAAACAATTGTGTAAGAAAAGGAGACTGAAGTTCCTAATCTGTATTCAGTAAAATCTTACCCTAACATCAGAATTTGGCAAGCAAAACACGCCCAGCAAAGACTGCACTCCTTTACCATCAGGACGACAGAGGCTGATCACACCTATAAGAACCAAAAAGGTTACAAAAAAAATAAACAAACAAACAAGTGATCAGAAAGTTTGGAGATCAGTGGTTGATTCAAAACCAAATTCTCCAAACCAACATCACAAGGATTGTTTGGCAGACAGTAAAGAGAATTACCATATCGATAAAAAATTGTGGGAATTACAAATCAAACTTAACTCGATGTTCAAAAACCTGACTTATCATCGCATCACAAATACAAAAGTGTGAATTTAGAGCATCATCAACTCTGGGATACTGACCTGACCATGATCTGAAAATAGTAACAATGGCCATTTTACTGGCTTGTAAACGGCTTGCCTTGTCCTCCCTACAATTAACAATTAA